GSWRSGRGCYAWSYAYTYSRMACRGGMMAGTGAGTCTTGGTCCCAGGTGGCACTGAAGAGTCTGGTTTCCACATTAGAAGCTGCCATACAAGTATCCCTGTCCATCTGTGTTGTAGACAGTCCCCCTAGGGAGTTAGGAGGTGGGACAGGAAGGTGCTGGACAGATGTGGACAGCTGTCCTTCTGACCTGGAGAATCCATCCTTCCAATGGCCTGTCTGCCCGCAGTGCACACCGGYGTCCTTAGGCTCAGACTCCACATTCTTTACAACACAGGAAATCTGGGTCCTGTTTYACCTCAGGAACCAGTTTTATGCAGGAGACCACAAGATGATTTTGAATTCTAGTTAATATTCGAGGACTCTGAAAATGATCAGGATATCAACACTGACACTTCCCTCTCTTATTTATTTTTTCTAATAATTATTATTTCAGGTCTTAATCCTTTCCAAAAATAAAGAGAGAGAAAGAAAAAAAAAGAAAGGACTTCCTTTACTCAAGTCTTGATCGACCTCAGAATATTTTTCAAAAGGATTCTGAAGTCCTTTCAGTGCCCCATTAATGACAATGATGATGATGATGATTGATGGTGAATTGTGTGTGTGTGTGTGTGTGTGTGTGTGTGAGAGAGAGAGAGGGAGAGAGAGAGAGAGAGAGAGAGGTGGTGGGAGAGACAGAGAGAGAGAGATTCTAAATCTTGGTCCCTAAGAGAAAGTTTTCAAAATAGCCTTATATGGTGTGTTTCCTATTTTTCTTCCCTTCTGAATTCTGTTGTGTTTTTTTTGTTTTTTATTGTGCTTAAGTGGATTATTTAAATATCCTGGTATTTTCCATCCTGCCATTTCTAAACACTTATCCACATCACTGAACCCAAYAGTTAAATGAACTTACTATTACAAATATACCAGGACAAGAAGTAACAGACTCCTGAATTTCACAGAAACGTTCTGCCCTTCTGCAGTTTGGGAAGATTCTAAATATTTGCCCTGGAGTCTCACCTGCCGTTGAGACCCAGCCCCTCCAGATCCACCTGCTGCTGTAGGCGTTTGGGGGCGTATGGGGATTTATGCCTGCTCTTTTCTAGAAAGAGGCCCCCTGAAGAAGGTCTTCAGGCATCCAGGGGAGGGTGTTGGAGGAGAATAAGTGGGTGGTAAAGAAAAAGTTGGGTGTAGAGAGAAAGAAAAAGGCAAAGCAAGTCAGTTTCAGAACGTTTGAGTAGGAGTTTGAACTTTATTTAATTTTTCTTTTAKTGTTCCCCCTGAGGCCAGAGCATGCCAAGTTCACCGATTATGAACTCCCATTTTTACCCCGTGTACAGATTGCAGAATCACATCGGTTACATATCCACTTTTTTACATACTGCCATACTAGTGTCTGTTGTATTCTGCTGCCCTTCCTATCCTCTACTATCCCCCCTCCCCTCCCCTCCCGTCTCCTCCCATCTTCTCTCTCTACTCCATCTACTGTAATTCATTTCTCTCTCTTGTTTTCTTCCCCTTTCCCCTCACTTCCTCTTATATGTAATTTTGTATAACAATGAGGGTCTCCTTCCTTTACCATGCAATTTCCCTTCTCTCTCTCTTTCCCTCCCCCCCTCTCGTCCCTGTTTARTGGTGATCTTCTTCTCATGCTCTTCCTCCCTATTCTGTTCTTAGTTGYTCTCCTTATATCAAAGATGACATTTGGCATTTGTTTTTTAGGGATTGGCTAGCTTCACTTAGCATAATCTGCTCTAGTGCCATCCATTTCCCTGCAAATTCCATGATTTTGTCAATTTTTAGTGCAGAGTAATACTCCATTGTATATAAACYCAGAATTGAGCATTTGCYGTTTTGTTTTGATTTGTTTTTTCTTCTCTCTTTTCTAGAGACCCTCTTAAATCTCATTTTGTTTTATTTTATTTTTTACATCAAAGATCTTTCATAAGGGCTTTGGTACTTCTAAGCCATCTAGTAAAATTTTGCAAATTATCAAAATAAGCACAGAAGAGTACATAGAGTGGAAGAATGTGTATGAAGCAGGAGTTTTCCCAGAAAAGGGTGACAGTTTTAATGTAAAGGAGGCCAGGACCAACAGGAAAGAGTTCCTATATGCACTCAGGCATTGCATGGCACCTGGAATCCCTGAGCCAAGCAGAGCCCAAAGAGGCCCTATGACCAATGACCTGGAAATCACCCACCAGGATGCAGACCTTAGAAGGGGTCTCGTTTTATGAAATTAAAGACAGAACATGTGCTCACAAAAGTTTTGGAGGACCCAAGTCAACAGTTGAGCCAAATCCTTCATACAAACGGATCATCAGTCTACCTGCACTCCAGCCCTACTTCTCAGGGCCAACCCGAGGAGGCTTGGCTGGCTGTGCCCATGACTCCACTCTTGGCCTGTGAGGCACTTCCTTCCGCCCAGCGAGCACAGGCAATCTGGAACAAAGCAAACCCCGGGAGGCACATTTGTGGATGAAGAAAATTGCTTCTGCTAAGGCAATTAGCAGAAGATCAAGCAGATTAACGGCAAGGACATTTGCTAAATGGTGYATCTCCAAAACCAAATATCCGACTRTCTGATATAAATTTCTATTTGTTTATAAAAGGAAAATRAATTCATTAAAGAGAGCTCACCATATACTTAAAGAGAGCTCAGGGGGATACATCACAACTCAAACCATGTTGGAAACTCATCTGGCAGGAAATCCAAAAAGACCACTGGAGATATAGGGGTCCATGCACCCAATGAGACTGGCTCCTGGTCCCAGGATCCCACACATGGTGACATCTGTGTGTACAGTGTCTAGCCTACGAGGGCACCTATCCACAAGGAAGAGCTTATGAGTAGGAAGTGAAAGATCAGCTAGCAGAAGGGGAGAGAGATCTATCCAACAACCAGAGAAAGCTCATGAGATTGTTCAACAAACACTTGTATCTATTCTGTGCTCAGCCCTGGGATGAGAGTAGAGGTAATACAAAGATGAAAAGAACAAAGAAAAACACTATTCCTGCCTCCACATGGGGGTATGTTTGTCTATCTTGTATTTTATTCACTGCAGTATCTTCAGCACCAAACAGTACCTAGCACTGAGTAGGTTCTCAATAAAATCATGCTTCATAAATGGGAAAAGCACATGGGCTACCACCCAGATGGCTGACAACTAAATAGGCAGCTACAATGTTTTCAACAAGTAGTCTTGCAACATTGACCCCCGAGTCAGGCAGTCGCTCTACAATAATGTGACATGATGGGTGGGGTGGGGGTGTTAGGGGAGCACAAGGCAGAGGTCCCTAACTCACCCCAGGAGTAAGAGGCAGCTTCCTGGAGGCCCTAGGATGAGTCTTGGWGTTTGATGAGTAAAGGAGTGAGCTGAGAACATCCCAGATGCAGGGAGAGTGTAAAAGCAGAATCCTTCAGTGAGAGGCCAGGGGGCTGCCTGGGTGGCATCTTACAGCTGCAGTGAGTGAAACCAGAGGAAGTTCAGGCTGAAGAGATTGGCAGTGTGAGCACAAAAACAGTTGGGTTCTGCAGAACTGGGGAGCCCCTGCAAGGTCTGAGCAGGACTGTCACATGGGGTTTACATTGGGGCCACACAAGACTGGCTTTCTGGAGAGGTGAACAAGCCAATGGGGAAGTTTGAGGTGATGGTGGCTTTGGCTCTGGTGAGGGAAATGACAATGGATGATAGCAGACAGATTGAAGTCATCTGCAAAGTCAAGTCAAAAGACTGGTGAAAGTGGGAGGAAAATAGGAGACTGGCAGGCTTCTGGATCTGGAGATAGAGAATAGGATCCTTCTGCAAAATAGGGAATGTGGGTTTGCAGTGGAAAGGTTGGCAGCCCCACCAGTAAACAGAGCAGAACTATAACTGATTCCCAAAACCATCCGAGTCACGTGGTGGGCTGGGTCCTACAGGCTGTAATACTCCCGGAGCAAAAGTTACCACCCAACTCCCTGTTGCCTCCAGTGTCTGCAAATGTTTCACCCAAGACAAAGAGGATTCCATGCTGGTCCATTCAACACACATTTATTGGGCTTCAAATGTAACTCAATGATACAGCACTTGCTTAGCATGTGCAAGGCCTTGGTTTAATCACCAGCACTGTAAAAAAGAAGAAAAAAAATCAACATTTATGGTTCATCTACACTCTGTGGGATGCTGTTGTAGACCCTGAGAACAAGGCAAAAACAAAACAGATGAAATGTGTGACCCGCTGTGGCTTACGATGTCATAAGGAAAGGAAGCAGGATTCGATAGTGCTAGAAAATGACAGAAATGTGTGTGGGAAAGTGTGAGGGCGGGGGAAGGGAGACACTTTAAATGCAGTGGATAAAGAAAGCTTATTAGAAAAAGTAACCCTCCAGCAAAACCTTGAAGGTAAAAACAGGAATATAGCCACCTAGGACCAGCATTGCTGACAGAGGGTGTTAAAATCAGCCAGGAGCCTGGTGCACTTGGGATGGGATCCACGGGGGAAGGGCAAGGATCACAGGTGGCGTCATGGTAGCAGCTGAGGGTGGGGAGGAAATAGCAGTGGGGAGTAGAGTACAGAGCACCTCAAGAACCAGGTAAGAACTTTGAGTTTTCTTCTGAGGAGTAAAAGACAGTTTGTGTGGGGTAGGGGGGAGAATTAAGAGAAAAAAATATCTTTTGCATTTACTCCCATTTGTTTACCATTTTGTCATTGTCATCCCTATATGTAGATATGTCCATTTCACAGCATTTTCCTTCTAACTTTAAGCATCTTTTGTATTCTTTTTTTTTATTTTTAACTTTTTTTTTCTTGCAGTGTAGGGATCAGACCCAGGGCTTTGCCCACACTAGGCAGATGCTCAACCATTGAGCTAAACTCCCAGTCCTTTATATTKTAAAATATTTTCATTTCACTTTAATGAGCATATTTTCAATAAATATGGAGTACTCCAATGTTTTTCTTTCAGAATTCCAAAGTCGTTACTCCATCGTCTTCTAGCTTGCATTGTTCTGGCACAAAATCAGGTGTAATTCTTGTCCTGTTTTTCTTCTTTAATTCTTTTTCATTTTTAGTTGCTTTAAAGATTCAGGGTTTTCTCTTTCATTTTTAGCTTTCATACTACAATGTGCTGAAGTGTCATTTTATGGTTTTCATGTTTGGAGTTTGCTGAACACCTGTGTTGATGTTTTCCATCAAATCTGGAAGAGATTTAACTATTCTTGCTTTAAAAAAAAAAAAAAAAGTTATGCTGCCACGCTCACCCCTTCTGAGACTCCAGTTATCCATGTATGGTAACTTTGTGATATTTCTTGGGTCACTATTGCCCTTATCCTACTTTTTAAATCTTATTACACTCTGTACTTCAGTTTGGGTGATTTTTATTGATCTTTTCTCAAGTTTACAGGTCATTTTTTTTCCCTGCTGTCCAGAGTGGTATTGATCTTACCCAATATGTTTTTCTTTCAGATACTGGTTTTTTAAGAACTAGAATTTCTGTTTGATTCTAGTTCAGAGTTTTCATTTCTTTCCTTGATACTATATCTCTTCACATGTCATTTCCATTTCTCTCTGTCCATGGGAATTTCGAGAAGTGCAACATGATGCACTTGAACAGGACTACCTAGCTTTTGTATTAATCACTAAGGGTAAAAGAAACAGGAGTCCAGATCAGAGGCTATTGAAATAATTCAGGCAAGGGATGATGGCACTTTGGACAAGGGCACAGCACCTGAAAAAGTGAAAAGCAGGTGCCCATGAGAGAGGCAATGCATGCAGTGAACTGAGTGTGGGAGGGACACTTAATCAATACCATGAAAAGAATTTCCTAAAAGGAAGTTTTTCCATAGAACAAAAAGCAAAAACAGAAAGCATCTGGAGTTTTAGAAAAGTCAATATACAAAGGAGGGAGTTTAGGACTAAAATAAGACCTTGTACTTCTAGACCATCCGTACTAGAAAGATCCTTGAAGACATCATCTAACCTAATTTCCTCTTATCTCTGCAAAGGAGCCTGAGACAGCAACAAGCATGGACTTACCCAAAGCCATGCAGCATATTAGTGTCAAAACCAGGATTTAAGTCTGCATAACTATGTGCTTCCTTACCAGGTTCCTATAGAAGCTAGACTATTTGGGATAATTTGGAAGCAATGAGCTCTGGAGGGGAAGAGAAGGGAATGGAATGGAATAGAATGTCCATTGAGCACTTATTGCATGTCAGTCTTTTTGCCTATATTTAACCCTGTACTTCTGCAGAGTAGGCACTGTTATTCCCATTTCCCACGTGATGAGGCATATGAAGAAATCTGCCCCAGAACATACGTCTAGAAATGGGGAAGAATGTAATCTATCTGAAGCCTGAGCATTTTCTGCCCACTTCTGCAGGACCTGACACTTGGCTGTGGTGGGTCCTAGCTAGAGTGTGAGCACAGGTCAAGGGCTGGCGTTTTTCAGTTACAGTCTTATGTTCATCCAGGAAACAGCCCTGCCCAGGGAACTGGGCTCTAATTCAAGATCGGCTGACACAACAAGGCATCCTGCAGATAAAGCTGGAAGAATAGAGGCTTCCAACTCCTTTCCATGGGTAAGAAAATTTGGGATGGGATAGGATAGATGACTTTAGGAGAGACCTCCAGGTTGTGGGAGGCTAGCAATGATTGGCAGAGGGGAGGATTATCATGCCTTGAGAGAAGCTGACCCAATATAACCTTCACCACAGTAAATTTCCAATAGGCATATAGAATTCAGACCCCAGAACCCATGGCCCCATTCCTTTAGCTTCCACAGAAACTCACCAAAACTTGGCCTCGAAGATCTTCTGTTCATGCTGCAGGTATTGTGAGGATACCCAAGCCTCTGATGACTCTAAGGTTCCCAGTCAAACCCAGGAGAATCAGCCATCAACAGTGGGTACGTACCAGAAAAGAGCAGTGCCTGGCCTCCTAAGACCTCTGCTTGCTCATTCCCTCCTGCTGAGACGCCCCTGGGTTTCCTACATCTTTTGAATGGTTTTTCCAACCTAAAATGAGATGGAGATTAGGTGCATTGGTCCCCAATCCAATAAACAAGAGAGATTAAATTCTTGTGGACCATGGACCTGAAATATCAGCATCACCTTGTTAGGGACTCGTTAGGATCATTTTCAGACCCTGCTCCAGTCCTACACACTGAATGAGAACCTGCATTTTAACATAATCTCCAGGGATATTTGTAGGTATATTATACTTCAAGAAACACTAGACTAAAGATAATATAGTAGATAAGATTTCCACTACTTTTGGGTCTATACACACTAGTTTGAATCTCAGCTTTACCACAGAAGTTGGGCAAGTCACTTAGCCACTCTGAACCTCAATTATTCTCACCTTAAAATAAGAACATTTATAATTCATTGTTTCTTTTAAGGATCTTTGGGAGGATAAAATGAGGCATATACATAAGCACTTAGCACAAGGCCTGGCACAAAGCAAGCAGTCAAGAAATGGACACTATATGGGAACCAGTTAGGTTAGGGTAGGCTCTGCTGTTAAAACAAATAAGCCTTGACATCTCAATGATTTACAAAATGAAGTTTATATTTTGTTCATGCTAAGCCTAGGACACATAAACCATTTCTTTTTCATCTTTAGCTATCTGGACACAAGACTTCCTTGACCAGCATATTAAGGATACAGAGAGAAAGAGAGAAAGCACCCTTGGCCTTCAGTTTGTAATAACACATCCATCTTGATGATCCAAGACAAAAGGTCATAGCAGAGAAGGGGTCAAAATCAGCAATGTTGGACAGAAAAAAAAATCATTATCAAAATCAGGCAAAGCTAAGACTGAWGAGCACTTGGTGGGACAGGGCCATCTTTCTGGGAGGGGGGACAGTATAATGGCAAGAAAATGTTCTCATTTTGCCAGAAATCCATAAGTGAGGGCTTTTTAAAGACTTCTTTTGGAAATAGCTCCCCAATAAAAATCAAGAACCTTAATATTGCTGGTGCCTTTTCCCAACATGACAATCACTGAGCCTTTATCACATGCAAAGTACTGTCTAGACATCCAGCTGCAATCTGATAAACCCTGGCTGCTGCAGTGGTTCATGCTACTAGTAAAAGAATATTATTTATTCTGCATAGTCATGCTAAGAAGTGGACATTCTTATCCAAAATGAGCACACCATTTTGCCAGGAGGAACAAAGGAAGAGCCATCTGTTCAAGGTGAGCAGCTAGTAAATGGCAGTACAATTCACCCTGTCACAGAATAGAGCTCAGTCTGTTGGCAAAATCCTGTGTTAGACTTCTAGAAGTAGAGACAGACCACACCTTATATACAAGTCTTTATAAAAGCAAAATTTGAAGAGTCTAAACATCAACCGTAGAACATTGGTTAAATCAACCTCCAATCATCCATCACCTAACACCTTAGACAGCCATTACTTTTAAAAATTTAGGGACATGAGAAAAATGTTTTAGATAGTCTATGAAAAATTAAAGTGCATAGGTAATACATAGGATGTGGTAGGTGATGTAACAACATTCATAGGGAAAAAAAAAACAGAATATCTGGGGGGAGAGGCATTTGGGGGCATTTTCTTCTTGCTTCCTACTATTAAATATTTCCCAACTTGTTTATAACAGTCATGCATCATTTTTACAAATAGAAAAAATGTTAATGGAGGGCAATTTATTTTTTTTTCTTTTTTTGAGATAGTTTCTCACTAAGTTGCCCAGGCTGGCCTCAAACTTGCAATCCACCTCCTTCAACTTCCAAATAACTGAGATTATAGGTGGGCACCACCATGCCCAGCTAAAAAGTTAGTGTTTTAAATGAATACATTTTGCCTCTGTGTGTGTGTGTGTGTGTGTGTGTGTGTGTGTGTGTGTGTATAGTGCTGAGGATTGAAGCCAGGGCCTTGTGCATGCCGAGCACGCACTCTACCTACTGAGCTCTATCATGTGATAAAGGCTCAGTGATTGTCATATCAGCCCTGAATACATACTTCTAACGGAGCACATGCTTCCAAGGGGAAGCACTCAAGGGAAAGGAGGAGGGAGACACAGAAACTGGCCACCGCAGCATGCCCACCACATGTCCACGTGCTACTTCAGAGTTGGACAAATACCTTCATTTCCATGATTCCTCGGAGCCTCCCAGGTGACCTTGTGGAATTGTCATTGACAGATTTGAAGCTTCAGAAGAGTGAGCTCAACAGACAAAATTCCAAGCGCATGAGCACATCCTTGTCTTTAGGGAAACTCCTGCTCTATCCACAGAAGAAATCTTCCTCCAGCAGCACCGAGTTTGAAGGTGAGACCCAAATTGGGGTCCTAACAGACTTCTGGGAAAGAGGTCCTGATGACCTGGCCCCATAGATTTCTGACCTCAGCTAAGTGGAGTGCAAAGAGAGTGGCCACGCCCACCAGGAAGTGTGGCTCAGAGCACAGTGAAGGGAGCTCTGTTGTTCCCCCAAACCCAGGTGTGTGGCAGGGAACAGGGTCAGAGAACGCTTGTGGACGGAGCACAGTTCAGTCAGGGCAACCGCCTCTGGGTCATGGAAGGACAGATGTCCAATCTAGGCCAGGGGCACAAACCAGAAAGAAGAAATGCAGCCATGTCACTGGGCAGCACCTGTGCACCAAGGCACACCCACCCCAGGGCAGATCTTCAAGAGCTGAGGATTGCTGGGCACAGGGGTGCACACCTGTAATCCCAGTGGCTGGGGAGGCCAAGGCAGGAGGGTCGCAGGTGCAAAGCCAGCCTCAGCAAAATCGAGGTGCTAAGCAATTCAGTGAGACCGTGTCTCTAAATAAAATACAAAATAGGACTGGGATGTGGCTCAGTGGCTGAGTACCCTTGAGTTCAATCCACAGTGTCCAAAAATAAATGAATAAAATAAAGGCATGCTGTCCATCTACAACTACAAAAAAATTAAATAAAACATTAAAAGGGGGTGGGGGCACTGGGGATGCAGCTCAGTGGTCAAGTGCCCCTGGGTTCAATCCCCAATACCAAAAAAAAAAAAAAAAAATGCTGAGAATCACCCAGCCCCATCATTAAGCCTCCCCTATCAGCCAAACCTCCTTGCATACCACATCACATCAGACTCAAGGTGAATTCCTATAAAAGACTCAAGGAGACCTGCTTTACCTGAATCAAGGGGGGGGGAGCTGGGGGTCCCACTAGCTCCCCCAACCTCTTTCTGTCCTCCCCACCCCAATAGGCCTGAGGCCCCCAAAGAGAAGAGACTTTCTACAAGCCCACCAGGGGCTGATGTTAGCATCCAAGGCAGGATGGGCCCAAATCTGCCCTCTATGCCACTGCCTGAGCAAGACTCTCTGTAGTCACTGGATCCACCAGGGTAGTTCAACCCCAGACCATTGCCAGAAGCTCCTAGGCTCGGGTCTGCGTTGGCTCCCAGGGGACTCGGGAATCTGAAGAAAGATCAGAGAGGGATGCAAATGACCAGGACAGTTGCTCCAAGCCCACCTAAAAGGCCTTCGCTCACCATGTTGTCCTCTCTCCTTTCAGAAYTGAATGCACAAGATCAACAAAAAGGGTTTTATAAGAGAAATCTAAACYGCTACAGCCACGAGCAGTGGCCCTACCAGTCATGCCTCATCGGGAGACCCTGAGCATTCTAGTCGGGGGCACCCCAGAGTCTCCAAGCTGCTGGAAGGTCCCCATGAGGAAGAGGGCAGTGGGCAGGAGTCATGAAGACTGATTTGGAAACTCCCCTGAAGGGAGGAGAAGATGTCCGAGTCACCCCTGGGCCCCCTGACCAAGTAGCTTCAGCCCCTGACATGGCCACAGGGGAGAAGTTGTCACCAATTAAAGACCTTGGTTGCATTAGATGTCATGTCCCTCTTCTTTTTCCCTCCCCCTGGCCAGGGAGTATCACCTATAGATAACATCATTGTTAAATATATTGTCACATCTAACGTAAAAAAAAAAWTTTTCCAACCTTTTGGATAACTTTGAAATAGTTTCAAACATACAAAGAGTTGCAAGAATCATAGGAAGAACGCAGGTTTCCCCTTCACCCAGATTCACCAAGAGCTTCATTGCCTCCCAGTTTTTTCAAAATCACTGGAGGGGGAGTCTTCATGCCCCTTTACCCTGAAATATTTCAGTGTGTATTTCCTAAAAACAAGGAGGTCTTTTTTATAGAAGTAYAGTACAATTATCAAATGCAGTAAAGTGAACATTGATATGATAGTGTTCAAATATCCCCTTTGTCCCCCGATTAGTCCAGGATCTAATCCAAGAACTGCACATACTGTGGGTGGGTTCAGACCCTTGGTGGGGGTCGCATCTGCTGCAGGGTTTCTCCAGTCTTCTGTTTTGTTAATTGTTTTTATTTTTTTAACTAATTAGATCTACTTGTTTATACTCTATTAATTTCTGTTCTTATACATTCTTTTGGTTACTTCTTTTTTTCTTGATGTTTGAACTGGGAATTTCTTTTTCTTTTTCTTTTTCTTTTTTGGCAGTATGGAGGATTGAACTCAGGTCACCATGCACGCTAGGCATGTGGCCCACCACTGAGCTACATCCCCAGCCCTTCTTAATTTTTTTTTATTAGAAATCAGAGTTATACACAGGAGTCAGATTCACTTGAAGTCATATGCACTTGAAATTTGATTTCAATCCTCGTTTACCCCTTTCCCTCCACCCTCCCTTCCCCATTCTCCTCCGTGGAGTCCACTGATCTTCCTTTCTCTCCTACTTATTTATTTCTGACTGGCACTCTCTACATATAAAGGTGGGATTCCCTGTGGTACATTTATGTATGCACAGAACTCGATTCATTCCATATTTCCTCTCCCCTGTCCCGTCCTCTCTCCCTGCCCCTGTGGTCCACCTTCTGCACTGATCTTCCCTGTGCATTATGATGGCTGCTCCCCTCCCCACCACCGTAGCCGCCTTTCCCTTGCTCTGCCCTGGCTTCCACATATGAGAGGAAACATTCAACCCTTGACTGTCTAAGTCTGGCCTATTTCACTCAGCAGGATGCTCTCCAGTTCCATCCCTTCACCAGCACATGCCACAATTCCATTCTTCTTTATGGATTAATAAAACTCCATTGTGCATACATACCACATTTTTTTTGATCCATTCATCTATTGAAGGGCACCTGGGCCGATTCCATAACTGAGCTATTGTAAATTGGGCTGCTATAAACATGGAAGTGGCCATATCATAATTGTATGCTGATCTTAGCTCTTTTGGATAAATAACGAGGAGTGGAATAGCTCGGTCATACAGTGGTTCCATTGCTAGTTTTCTAAGGAATCTCCATATGGCTCTCCAGAGTTGTTGCACTAATTTGCAGTTCCACCAACAATGTATGAGTAAACCCTTTTCACCACATTTTTGTCAGCATTTTTAATATTTTTTTATTTGGGTCCTTGATAATTGCCATTCTGAGTGGAACGAGACAAAAATCTTAGTATAGTTTTCATTTGCATTCCCTGATTCCCAGCCCTTTTTTAAAACTTTATTTTGAGACAGGGTCTTGCTAAGTTGCCCAGGCTGGCCTTGAACTTGCAATCCTCCTGCCTCAGTCTCCCAAGTAGCTGGGATTATAGGTGTTGTGATTACAGCACCACTGCACACTGATTTTCTGGGTATAAGAGTTTAAAGACAGAAAATGCCCTTTCTCTCTCAAAAATATCTTCGCCCTACTTCCTGGAACCTGAGAGCATGGTACTTTACATAGCAAAGGGGATTAAAGCTGCAGATGCAATCAAGTTTGCTTACCAGTGACCTTGAGCTAGAGATAATCCCTGATTATAGGGCTGGCCCCAGTCTAATCACATGGAGAGAATCTCCTGCCCAGCTCTGGGGCAAGTGTAGCACAGAGAGCAGGACAGGAGGAGGGGAGGAGATGGCAGCAACAGGTCCTATACGAGCATTCCCCCTCCCCCATGGGAGAAGGAACTAAGTTATTACAACCCACTCACAATGCATTTGGACAGTATCAAACTGGACCTAAAATGCCTCGCCTCTTACTGTGTCACCTTGGCCAAGAGACCTAACATACTCTCTGTGCCTCGGTTTCCTCATCTGTACAGTAACAGTATCTACCCATGGCATAAGGAACTATTGGTCCCAAATTCCTCCCCCTTCTCTGCCGTATCTTCTTGGGTGAAGTGCACTTGGACTCTGTCATGTGACTTGTTTGGTCACAGAACTTAACAGACAGGGTCTGAGGCTTGCTCCACCTGCCTCTGGCACCCCATGACAAGAACACCCTTGCCAGCCTACCAACCAAGAAGGGTGAGAGCCACAGGAGGCAGGGCCACACTATCAACCTGACAGACATGATGGGCAGCGGGAAGGACCCCTGGAGAGGGCCTCAGCAGACACCCTCCTCCTCCCGCCTCTGTGGTCCAGTCCAGACCCCCCTGGCTCAGCATTCCCTGGTTCCCGGCTCTGTGACATCACAGACAGCCTCCTGTCCACTCTGCCAGCAGCAGGTGAGTGAGGCTCCAAGGTTAGACCTCACAGTGGGAGAGGTCATTTCTGCACTGGAAGAAGCCATGTGCCCAGTTCTCCTGGCGCCTGCCTATTCACCGCCCCTCAGTTGCCTTGACCTCTTTCTCTGGATCCAGTCTCCCCACCTGTGCTGAGCGCCCCAAAGGGCTCCCCCAGCTCCAGAAGCCTTCCTGCTAGACCTCATTGCCTGTTCTGGATATCACGCTTTAGGTATCACTAGAGACCCAAGGTCACAGCCCACAGGGGACAACCCCAGGGCCTTTTCTTTGGCTCCTGCTTCCATCTAGAGGCAGGTGCTGGTAGTGCAAGAAACTGCCCCCTGGCCCCTCTGCACTGCACGTGTCCCCTATATCACCATGTTTTGAGTTACTAAGCACTCACTGTGCTATGCAGAAGACACCACGCTAAGCACTTGCCATCTTTCTGACACCCAATCCTTGCAACATTCTGGAGTAGATTTTGACCATCCATTTGTAGAGAGAAACAAGCTGAACTTCAAGGAGGTAAAACTGCCTTAAATTACACAGCAAGGTGCAGCAAGAATTTGGATCCCAAGTCCACTGAAGTGTGCTCTGGACTGCATCTCCGCCAAGCTTCAGGTGGAKCCTTGCTATTTAAATGGCTGCCCCCCAAAACCCTCAGAGAACAAATCAGTTCTGAAATCTCTTGCTGGAATTGCCTGCAGGTGTAAAAATGGACRGCATAGCAGAGGCTCCAGCTTCAGACCAAAGGACACTAACAGCTCAGGGGAGCAGCTCAGGGGCGGAGCGCTCACCCAGCACAGCAAGGCCTGGTTCCATATCCAGCATGAAGAAAAAAATACTCTAGGAAAATCCTAGCTGCTCCTCTTGGCTCTGACACCTGAGCAAGTCACCCTGCTGAGGCCCAGTTAACTCATTGTTCAGTAGAAATAAAAGAAATGAGCCCCCAGATGTCAAAGGATGTCACAGGCCCATCCTTTGAACTGATGAACACCGGTGTCTTTGACACTGAGGCTGTTTCTCCTCCCATTCCCTTCTAAGGCTGGGGTCTCGCGGAGCTCGGGAGAACCTGAGAGAGGATGTCTCTATTTCTATGAGAGCTAAAAGCATGTTCACGGGAGGGACAGTGGGGGAGAACTGAGCACAGTGCTGTCCAGCCGTCCAGGAGGGCTCCTGCGTCATTCAACAAGGAAAGGCCACCTGCTCTGTGGAAAGCCCTGTGCTGGGGTCCAAACGGGACCTGCACCCATCCCTGTCTCCCTGAGAGCAAGACTGTCACTCTTGCTCACTGCAGGGTCCTCCGCGCCCCACAGGATGCCTGGCACCAGAGCATCCTTGGTAAATGTGGTTGTCCCCAGGTGTCCATGGGGGGGTTGGCTTTACCAAAATCCATGGATGCTCAAGTCCTAGAAAATGTCCTAGTATTTGCACGTAACATACACGCATTCTCCCCTGAATTTTAAATCATCTCTAGGCTATTTATAATACCCAACAGAATGTGAATGTTGGGCCAAAGCCATTATTTGTTGAGGGAATAATAAGAAAAAGCCTGTATATGTTCAGTCATTTTTTTCAAATATTTTCGATCTGTGGTGGCTTGAATTCATGGACAGTGTTGAATATATATGCTAAATAAAAATTTTTTATCATATATTTTTTTCATAGGCAAATAAACAGAGAGTGAGAACAGTCCATTCAACAAATATTTGCTGAGCACCTGCCATGTTTGGGCAAACTCTGTGCAGGAACAGAAAGGGCCATGATTCGGGGAAGGGATGGTGGGACCACAGGTGAGAATCCCTAATTTGTCCCAGCATAAGAGAGGGCTTCCTGAGGAGGTGACACTGGAGCCCCATCAGGGATGATGGGTGGAGAAGGGAGGAAAGAATGTAGGSGCAGAGGAACAGCTAGCCCCCAGGCAGCAGCAGGACACGGGCCACCGAGGGTCTGAATCAGAGTGGCAGGACTTTTGTGAGTGAGCCCACAGAACAGAGGCAAGCTGTGTCATGACCCAGAGGCCAGAGCAGGCAGTGGGGACAGGGGACAGGTGATGGGGGAGGTGTGGAGGAGCTAGAGTCAAAGGCCCGGATGGATGAGGGAGCATGAGAGGAGGACGGGTTCTGCCCCCATTCTGGCTCTGGACATAAAGTCAA